CCTCACAGACTTAAACTTATCGACCTGTTATACTCAACCTACAATACTCATCAATGCCATCACATGTAAAACACAACACCCACTATATCACCTCCGTGGCGACCTCTCAACCAACCTCAACAATAAAGAAGTCAACCATGCTACTCGCATCGACGATCTCTCTACACGACATAACCAACTCAAAGATATTAATTATAGACACCTATGTTAATAATAACACTAAATATATCTCTAGAATCTAGACACTATTAGACAATCATCCTATATAAGAATTCGAGCAGTATATGTCTATAACAACCCAAATCCCTAGTATAGAGCAAAAATCCAGGACAACAATCGACAAAGACTTGTAATGCAAATTAGATATAATGCCATGGGCGACAAATATACATAAGATCAAAGTAAATACATATAAAAACTCAACTAATAAAGAACACACAAGGAAGAAGAGAAATGAACTACAAATCTTTCGGTTTGTCAGTGCTGATCAAAGAGCAATCCACTCCAAATCATCTTTATGCAGGCTTCATAGTTATTTTTTAAGCTAACCCTAAGAAAAAATGACGATTGAGGAATTTGGGAGAAAAAACTATCCCCAAAACCATCACCACACCAAAGGAAATGAAAAGAAAATATAAACAAAATCAAATCCGCACGCGTCGCCCGATGCTTCAAAAGCGTCACTCGATGACAATTCATATTTATAAGGCCCAGCCTGCGCCATGCAAGCAACTGGGGAAAATATCCTCTCTCGCCCGACAAAGGGAAAACGTCGCCCGACATTGCTTATTTTCCTCGCCCAGTGACACAGAAGCGAAGCAAGGCAGAAGCAATTGGAATAATGATCCAACTTCTCGCCTAAGCATCACCCGACGCTGCACACCAGAACAACAACTTTTGTTTCTTTCTCTGCATAACTTCAAATGGCTTCCTCTTTTGCCTTATTCCTTTATTGATCAATTGTACATATTGGAGTACTATTTGGACTTTATTCTCATTGCTCCAATAATGCTTGAATACCTACAAAATTGAATACAAAACTATCAAACGATACACTATGTAAACAAAAACACCAATATTACAAACTAAACGAATTTACCAACAAAGCGGATAATTATTCACAAACTATTAACAAAAGCATTGATAGTGAAACAAAAAGTATATACAAAAATAACTATAATTTTCACTTATCAAACTCTCCCCAACTTGAACTTGTTTGTCCTCAAACAAGGCTAAACAAACTTAAAGAAGCAAAAGTAATCAACCAAAGAATCGTAAATCAACAAGTTTTAAAAATGAAAACAAATGTATGGTTCAAACAAAAACGCACACACAAGGTACATACTTATCAAAATCCTACAACGATAACTATTAAATGAAACAAATCCTAAGTACAAAAATTATGCTAAACATTCTAAAACAAAACAACCTTTATCATGAATCTCACCTAGAAAAATTCATCGGTAGATGAAGAAAACACAAAAGATAGGGACAAAAACACTCATCCACAATCTTGCAAACAATAGACTAAATTATGCATTCATCCAAAAATTCAAATTAAAAATATAAAGGCAAGAATCACAAGGACTTTTCAAGGTTGTAATGTGGCTTGGTTAATAAACAAGGGATAAGTCCTAAAGCTAATCAAAACAAAAACTTACCTAAACCTAAGGGAGTGATCAACTCGCAAAAGTTCAAAAACAAAATTTCCATCAACTTTCTTCTTCATCCCAAAATTTAACACCAATCACATACTTATTAACATAACATTATTCCATATTCTTTTTGTTTTTCTTTTTCAAATCTTTTTTAATTTTGTTCTTTATTTTTATTTTCTTTTTCTTTCTCTTTTTTCTTTTTCTTTTCGTTCTTTTTCTCTTTCACAACCTTGTAGTAATCAACACATGAGCAAGCAAGAAATTCTCTCCCCAACTTGAATTTAACCACCATTAAAGTGAATACTCCAAACTTTCTAAGGAATGGTAAAAATTCAAACTAAAAATCATAGTTGAGAGTTCAAGAAAACAAATAATCAATGTTCATGCAAAAGGTAAAACCAAACACTCATAGATAAGCATTAATCCAAAAACAACATGGACATTGACAAAAAGGCTCAATGGGGTTAACAAAAGTTCACACACTTACAAGGTGAATTGACTATTTGGCTAGGTAGTTGTGCTCAAAATCAAACATAATGCCTTGATCACTTTCATGCTTTCATACAATCAACAAAAACAAAAGATTAAACATAATGAAATTCAGTTAAAACAAGAATGTGGCCTCAAGCATATATGAACAATGGAAAGCTTCCTCATATTTGGGGTAAAAAAGGAACTAAAGTGATACAATAAGTAGCAAGTAATGCAAAAAGAATGAATGATATAGTAATTATAGAAATTAAAAGTATCCTAAACATGTTATGCTATAGAAAGCGATAAATGAGTACCTGGGGTGTACCAACTTCAAAAACTTTCATTACCATATATCTACAAGTTAAAACACTGAAATTTGGACAATCACCAAATGAAATCTCAAGCTATTGAACCAAAATTGGAGTCCAAACAACAAAAAAAGAATTAACACAACTAAACAACCGGGTGAAATTTAATAAACAAGTTGAAAAGTGAAGATTTAAGATTTTTGAACAGGTCCAATTTCAACTTGTTTAAACAGAGATCACCACACTACCTAAACTAAAACATTGAGAAACAATAAAACATGCTTGTTTTACGTCATAAGCTCGACGATTGTTATTTAAGAACGTTACTCCAAGTTGCGTCCACCCAGTTATTCCTAACCAACACATAATCAAATGTGAAAGGAAACAAACAATGATATAACAAACTCACAAGTATAGAAAACATGCACAAGTGTGGTAAACATAAACAAATAAATTCACCAGTAAACATAGACAAGTTCATGCACAATTTCTACACAACATACACATTAATTACAAAACTCAAAAACAAAGAAACTATCGCGACACGATTCAATAAAACACTAATCCACGACAACGACGCCATTTTGTTGAAGCCGCAAGAAAAAAGTAAGTATTAATTACCGTGTGATATTTATAGGTTATATCGTATCGTCTCCATAGGGACTAGTTCTACTAAATTTCCATTTGACAAATCTCTCTAGTTTATGAGTTTGGTTAAAATGGGTTGTTTCTAAGGAAAGGTAAAAGGTATTAACAGAAAATAAATTCATTCTTCAAAGGGGAAACTTATCAGACATACATATAATCCACTCCCCACAAACTTAAACCTATCTGCATGTTATACTCAACCCACTATATCACCTCGGTGGAAATCTCTCAACCAACCTCAATAACACAGAAGTCTACTGCGCTACTCGCATTGATGATCTCTTAGCACGACGCAACTAACCCAAAGGAATTAATCACATACACCCAAGTGAATAACAACACTAAATATATCTCTAGAATCTAGAAACTATTAGACAATCATTGTAGATAAGAATTCGAGTAGTATATGTTCATAACAACCCAAACCCCAAGCATAGAGTAAAAATCTAAGACAACAATCAATAAAGATTTGTAATGCAAATTAATATAATTCCATGGGCGACAAATAATCATAAGATCAAAGTAAATACATATAAAAACTCAACAAATAAAGAATACACAAAGAAGAAGAGAAATGAACCATAAATCTCCTGGTTTGTCAGTGCCGATCGAAGAGCAATCCACCCTAGATCATCTATATGCAAGCTTCATAGTTGTTTTCTAAGCTAACCCTAAGGAAAAATGAGGGTTGATGAATTTGGGAGAAAAGCTATCCCCAAACCATCACCACACAAAAGGAAATGAAAAGGAAATATAAACAAAATCTGACCCTCACGCGTCGCCCGACGCACCAAAAGCGTCGCCCAGCGACGGTTCTTATTTCCAAGGATCAGCCTGCGCCACGTAGGAAATTGGAGAAAAATATACTCTCTTGCCTGATGTAGTGGTGAAAATCGGAGATCAAGCTATTAATTAACTTGACTCACAAAAAGCAAGAGTCGCCACCGCGCTTTATTATTTCCAAGGGAAAAGGGAAAAGAGTGAAATAAAACCCTAAAATATGCAATGTAAAATAATACTTAAAAGTAATAAAAATACAATGCATTTTTGAAAGAGATTGAGAGTTCGGGGGTTGGTTATGCAATGGGAAGGTATTAGCACCCAATGCATCTGCGGTACTCCGCAGGAACCTTTTGAAATATCTGTTTTTCGGTTTAAAATTGTTTGTTTGATTAAAATGATTCGTTTGGCTAAAGATGAGTGCAGATGAGATTTTGAAGAGACAACAACCTAATGTCGAAGTTTTGACTTAAAAGGTGTGAGTTTAAAAATTGAATCTTTTGGGAAAATTATCTCAGGTTTAACAAAACAGTAAACAAACAAAAGATGAATGAGGGTATTCGCACGATTGGATGAGATGTGTTTGATGACGTGAAGTCAACAAAATTCAAATCTTTTCCTTGGAGCTTAAACAAACAAACAATAAAGTAAGCCATAAAAATTAAAATGAACTAAACTGAAAATACCACAAAACTTATTAACATGTAAAAGGAAAATCATAAAGGAATAAATATAACCAAAATTGATGACAAAGCGAATAATAATAAATACGAAATGATGGAGGAATAATTAAACATAAAGAGATATAAAATTAACTCTAAGCTATGGTCGAAAATTCTAAGGTTATTAAGTTAAATCTAAATTAAAATTCTAAAATTTGCTGACTAAACAAAATCAAAATTATAAAATTACTAACTAAGCTAAATAAAATTCTAAATTTACTAACTAAGCTTAATAAAAAATTCTAAATTTACTAACTAAGCTTAATAAAAAATTCTAAACTTACCAACTAATTCTAAAGAAAAATATTAAGTTGACTCCAAACTAAACTAAATAAAACAAAATGTTTAATTTAAGAACAAAATTATATGATTAATTAAAACTAACTAAATAAATGAAATATAGCTCACCCTCAAGCAAAGTCCTGATATACTGGATTCAACTCAAGTTGCTCTGCCATTTTCTCTAAGACATCTTTCAAAAGTTTTGCTGGCTCTTCTTTCTCTAATTCCACTGCACCTTTTTCTTTAGCTACATCAGCAAAAAACACAATCATAAAAAGATCAGCTGCATCGCCACCATCATATAGTGGTGAACCCAATTCCGTAGTGTTTTTCTCAAGGAAGCATCTTATTATTTCTGTGCTTCCTAGACCATCCTTTGCATTGAGTTTTTCTTGTGATGCCTTCTCTATACAGCTGTTTAACTCCTTTTCATTGGCCAATAGCTGTCTTATTTTAGAGCCATTTATGATTGGGATATTCTGGACGAAAACAAAATTCTTTTTGGAAAGTTCCACTTCAAGATCTTGTAATACAAACTGCAGAAGCTGTGCAAATTGTGCCTGGCCCAGTTCTTCTTCTCCATCCGCTCCATGTTTACTCAACAAATCGTTTAACTGAGGATATTCTGAGAAAGGAGGAACTCCCATGTCAACTCCCATCTGAACAAGAGCATTTCGAATCTCACTCTTGCTGATTTTCCCCTTATCTTCAACATCCAATTCAGTGAACAGATTTTCCGCTAACATAGCAAAATCATCCTCGTCCTCAAACAACAAACGAAGAGTACTTCCATCCAAGACTGATACAACAAGAGGACTACCTTTGAGTTCATCGGCGATGGCGGCGATGTATTGATTGGGGAATTGAGAAGCCTGTAAAGGCTGATACTCAGTCTCAGGTGAAAAGAAAGAATCATCGGAGATGGCGGCGATACTACGGAGGCGATGGAGTGCAGAGGCTTTGAGAGAAAATTTGGATGGTGGAAGTATAGAGGTGTTTTGGAAGAGAGGAAGTGAATTTGTTTACAGTAATTGAAGAGAGGAAGGATTATGCCAAAGAAGAGAGGGGGAGGTAATTACTGTGAGTTGCTTTTTTTGCTTTTTTTTGTGTCTCCTCCTGTGGAGCATCTGCACGCTTTCCGGCCAGAAACTGCCCCAAGTGATGCAAGTTAGCCCTTGCAACAAACTTGATCACCACTTTGTATTCTTTTTCCCTCTTGGGGCCATTAATTCCATCCTCTTCTTCTATAAGCTTAATCATAAACTCTCTCCATGAAAAGGGAAGAACCCCTGCTGTGTAGAGACTTTTCCTGCCATCATATGCTGGAAGCCTCGTGCCAAGGTCAGATTCTTTATACAGCCTCACAAGTTCTGCTATTATGGATCTGTTAACTGCTTTGGAAGACACTTCCGGTGTAATAGTTACATCATACTGATTCAAGTCCTTGTCTGGTAATTCTGCAAAGAAGTGATTAGCTTTAACAATGCATTTTGTACCAACTTGTCCATAACCTGGCCTTTGAGCAAAAGTCAAAGACTTGCTTGAAGTAGGAAAACTCATCTCTACATCACTAGAGACAACGTTTCTATTTTGAACAACATGACCATTTTCATTACTTTTCACAGCAGTACAAGGCCTACAACTTGGTCTCATCAAAACATCAACTTGATCAGATTTTCTCCCATTTCTACTCCTCCTTCCTCCACCACTCTTTCCTTGAGGTGGTGGTGAAGTTTGGTTACGTTGCTCCTGTGACAACAATGGTGGACCTTTACCATTTTGAACAGCTTTAGTAACCTTCTTAGCCTGATTCATAGTGTTTGGTAAATGAGGTTTGATCACAAGATGTTGTTCTGAACTCTCTTTCATTTGCCTCAAAGGCATGTTGAATTTTTGCTGAGTTCTTGCAGGAATATATATATATATATATATATATATATATATATATATATATATATATATATATATATATATATATATATATATATATATATATATATATATATAGAGAGAGAGAGAGAGAGAGAGAGAGAGAGAGAGAGAGAGAGAGAGAGAGAGAGAGAGATAGTGATATACTTTTCACGTTTCAGCAAATAACCAGTTTTTCACGTTTAGTTTTTGCCTATAACCTTATGCTTATATGTAGCTATGTAACTAGGGAAGACATGTAAAAGCAATGAGAGAGTGAAAATGGAAGATGGGTTGTAAGCAAAGAAAGAAAAATGGAGTGTTTTTGAAGGATTTAGAGAGAAGGGAGAAGGGTGAAAAGAATAATATTAAAAAAAAGTGGAAGATCAGAAAGGAAGATGATGATGTTGATGAATCTTATACACGCATGCAAAAGAGATTTTGGTGTTTTCTTTATCACGTGTAAAAGGCTTTGCCTCTGTCCCTCACTTTGCTTTTTTGATGAGTTGCTCCCTATGGTGTTTGGTTTTTGGAGTAACTCTTATATTTATGCAAAAACAAAAGAACAAGGAAAATAAAATGGAAATTGAAAATTTATTATGAGAGAGAAAGAGAGAAAGAGAGAGAGCTACTGTAAGTTTTTTTGTTTTTTTGTATCAATCCACCACTTTTGCTAACAGCCAATGAGAGCATAGTATAGTGTAATCAATATATTTTTGTGACAAAAACGCCCCTGAATGACAAAAATAAAATAAAACCTGAAAGTATAAAAAATAACTCAATTTAAAATAATTTTTTTGAATTTTTTCTGAATTAAAAATAAAGACACAAAATGACCGAAAACGATAAAAAACGGACGAAAATTTATCCGATAAAATAAAATGAACACATTAAAATAAACTACATGTCACGAAGATTAAAGAAAAAAAATATTCAAGAAGTCAAAAAATCAAAAATAAAATAATAGTAAAAATATCAGACTAAACAGACGTTTAAGGTTAAAAACGAGACTTCGAACTGTACCGAAAAAATAAAGCGAGCATACCGTCATGATCTACGCGAAACGCAGATTCATAAAATGATCGGTAAAAGGTGAAAACTTGAAATATTTTCTCGCTAATTTCCCGCATAGTGTCGAATCGCTTTTAACAGTCTGTCTATAAAACCAAAATATTTTTATTATTGACATATAAACAACTTGGAGCAATGCAACAAATGAGTAAATAGATAAAAATGCATGAAGCAAAATGCCGGGTATTTTACAACTGAAAGACGATGCAAACTTTGATTTAAACTGACTTTTTCTGATCAACTTAAATACGACTAATGATGCAAAATGTGATGAATGAAGATATTTACTAATGATCGTGACCAAATAACAAAATATGATATGAAAGTGCGACTAAAACATATTAGGGGCGAAATTAAGGGTGCAACGGTTATGCCTTGATGAATCAGTCTTCGAGAATCCACAATCAACCGTACTTCGGGCTTGGGGGACTCAAAACCTTAATTGAGGCGCGACACCTGATGCTCTTGATTCAGACCTGTCTCTGCCCATGAAACAAAAGAAAACATGAACATACACCTTTGTATGCGATTAGAAATTAGTGATACATAGGCTAAAAATGTTCAAAACACTTGACAAACTTCACATAGTCAATGCTTGAAGGTGAGAGATTAAAACCGACTGTATTTCGTGACCTTGACTTATCTTTAAAAATGCAAAAAATAAAAATGGGATCTTAGGTCAAAAATTGGGGTACAACAGCTGCCCCTATTTAAGTTTCTTCTATCTGGAGATATGAAGATTGGGATCTTCATTTCGACGAGATTGAAGGGACTTAAATATAGAATACACAATTTTTGGCCTTAAGATACCGCGATTATGTTCATGATATGATATGAATGTAATGCTTTGAATTTTATGGGGAATGACGCCATATGAGACAAACTATGCTGGAGAAATCAAGCACATTATACAGTAATCACACAGAGGAAGAGGTTGTAACTCCACTGGGGAAACAAAGTCATAGACTTCAAATGAGAGACTCTTGAATTATTTACATCAGTGTTGAGACTGGAAAAGAGATGATTTACATCAGTACGAAGACTGGAAAAAGAAATGATTTACATCAGCACTGAGACTGGAAAAAGAAATGATTTACATCAGCACTGAGACTGGAAAAGGAAATGATGGACATCAGTACTGAGATTGGAAAATGATTGACATCAGCACTGTGGCTGGAGATAAACATCTCTGATTTCTGAATTTTACCAAGAACGGTAACACATTTCTTCTTTAACCAAGATATCGCTTGAAAAGGATAAAATAACAAACTTATCCACGTGACTTTTCCGAAAAGGGATGCCATTTGTTGAGTAGACATTATTGTTGGGGATACACAAGCTGCTCAAATAAAGAGGCCGCCACTTGCTTCCTTTCAAAGGTGTCAACAACATACAAGCTGCTCATGAAGAGACCGCCACTTGCTGTCTTCAAAGAAAATTAAAGCATACAAGCTGCTCATGAAGAGTCCGCCACTTGTTGTCTTCAAAGAATATCAAAGTACACAAGCTGCTCATGAAGAGTCTGCCACTTGTTACCAATAACCCACAAGCTGCTCATAAAGAAGCTGCCACTTTCCGTTTTCAAGGGAACAATAACACACAAGTTGCTCAAATAGATAAGCTGCCACTTGCTGTCTTCCAAAAATACTAACGTACAAGCTGCTCATGAAGAAGCTGCCACTTGCCGTTTTCCGTACAAGCTGCTCATGAAAGAAGCTGCCACTTGCCGTTTTCAAAAGAAAAAATAACATACAAGCTACCCATGAAAGGACTGCCACTTGCCGTTTTTCGAGGTGTCAATAATATACAAGTTGCCTCGTGAAGAGACTACCGCTTGCTGTTTGTCAAGAGTATCCATAACACACAAGTTTCCTCATGAAGAGACTGCCGCTTGCTGTTTTTTTAAATGTAACAATAACATACAAGTTACTCATGAAGAGACCGCCACTTGCTATTTTTTCAAAGGTATCAATAACATACAAGTTTCTCATGAAGAGACTGCCGCTTGCTGTTTTTAAAAAGTGTTTATAACATACAAGTTGTCCATGAAGAGACTGCCGCTTGCTGTTTTCTCAAAGATACCCATAAAATATCATGAAGATATTGCTGGAGGTGAGAATCAATAATTTCATTTGGGATGGACAAGCTTCTCATGAAGAGACCGCCATTTGTCGTAGAGAAATCAGAAATAACCAAACTGTTCAAATAAAGAGTCAGTCGCTTGTTGTCATGTCGATATTCCAGAAGAAGGTTGTGATAACACTACTGGGGAATAAAGTTCATCTTCAATGGGGAACCATGAATAAATCCTTCTTGAGGAGACCAAGTATTTACGTTGCAAAATAAATGCACTCTCCATCTAGGTTTCACATCCTAGAGAGATCAACAGGGTATCGTTCACAAGAGACAAAGCTCAATCCAGGTATAAACTGGAGAGAAAATAGTCAAACAAGACTTCGCCCAATGAGGGAACAACTCAAATGGGGATTTATCCTATCCAGAGATGGAAAAGGAAAGCTAAAGCAAGATTCTTCCACGAGAGTTAACTCAGTGGGGAATTAGAAAAGAGGCGCACTTTCTGCTTAAGTTGACACTCTATTTGGAAAGATCAAATACGCTATTTGAATAAACATAACCAAGGTATACGTACTCAAAGACATCAACAAATACAACTGTGTATGCATGATGCAAGTGTGAATGAATAAATGAATGTCATGTATATGCTGACAAAACAGACAGGGGAGATAGACTGAAGATGATAAGACATCATAGTACAGCTCGACACTAGGCTAATCTCAACAGGATAGGAACATTACTGGAGATAAAACACAGGCCATTATTGGAGCAAGGTCCTTTTACAAGGCTTAAATATCTCTGGAGAGGAAGATATTTTCAGGTAGAAAACCCAAAGTATAGTCTTCTATTGCAAAGAATCCATTGAAAGGATAACAACACAAACAAAGTTTCAGCTGGAAAGAAGTCTTGCTTAGCTGGAGATACTGGGAACACCACCCTCTGATAATGTATGAAAAACATATCTTGACAAATCTGGATTGCCCCTGGGATTAATTTTGGATGCCCCAAGTTTACTGCTGATAAGCTGCGTGATGCACGACAATTCTTGCGAATAGCTTCACCTCTAAAATGCCCCGAGCTATATGGTTGATGAGGAGAAATCGTCTCAAGAGGATTTTACAAAAGACCTGGCATTCACCATGCTCTGGTGTCTTCAAACTCTTAGAGAGATTCATCAAATCTCTACGTGATTGCCTCTGATTGACTGTAGTCGGCACAACAAAGTCTTCGAATTTTTGCCCCAAACAAGCAAACAAGCTGGGAAAAGCATTAACTGGGAGAAGCAACATGTCCGTGCTTATGGTCTTCAGGTGATATGCCCCTGGATATGATTTTTTTTGAAATGATTCTCCAATTACTCAACAGAGTTTCAGGCCTTAAGAATAAACTTGAAATTCTGGCTGCAGATACTCAATGTCACGTTCAATGTTATGACACCGTATCTGACTTACTATATGACAGTAAATACAAAAACAATAAAGAACACAGTCAATTGTTTACCCAGTTCAGTGTGCAACAACACCTACTCTGGGGGCTACCAAGCCAGGGAGGAAATCCACTATAAGAGATGTTAATTCAGGAATAAACCAACCAGTTTATCTCCTTCACTTAAGACCTACCCAATGCAATTTCAATCTAAGTACAACTTAAACCTGAGTTCCTACTCACTCCCCCTCAATCACAGCAGTGATACATAAAACAATTTGACTAATGATTTGATGAAGACACTCTTCAAAAACACACACTTGATTAAGCTTCACAGCTTTTTAATCAAGTAACACAACCACTCTTGCTTCACAGCTTTGAGTGATACACAACTTAACTTGACT